AGAAGCACCCACAGTACCGGCAAAAGTTGCCCCGACAGCCGAGAGGCCCAGAGCGTTCGCACCCAGAGTGTGGATTCGAAGCGGGAGCCATGCCCGGGTGCCGTTCGTGCAAAGAGCCACGATGACTATGAGGTTAAATGAAATGGGACTAGACTGTGATCAGGCTCCTTTCAACGTGGAGCTCCCACTCCCTCCCGATGCCTATAAGGAAAGGGTAGGGGAAAATGGGGTCCAGCTAGAAAAGAACAAAATCAAGAAAACTGAGGCTCTGGACCTTCAGAGGCACCCCCAGATTTGGAGGTCTCACACAGCCGCAGCCTTTCCTTGCACAAGTGGCTGTAGTCTGGCCTGAGGACCAACACTTTAGGAACTGAAACAAAGATGTTAAATCCTTCCCCACCGCCCTGTTCCTTCTTGTCTTGGATAAAATATGAGAATGTCTTTTTTTTTTTTTATCAAGGGAAAAGTGAAATTGAACAAGGTCTAAACTAACTTAACATTGTAACATTGTGTTCCTGACCCCATCCCTAACTTCTAAATTGTGTCCAAATTCTGCCCTTTCCAATCCCATACTAGTTGAAATCCGCCTTCTCAGCAAGGTCTAAGGACATAACCGTTGGGAGCATAGCCCTATTGACCTTATTTCCCTTCGCGTAGTAACTTTTAAACCTTTAACAAATAAAAAGTGGGGGAGTGCTGGACCAGCTAAGGCAGCCCAGCTCCCTGCACCACTCCCCTTTGCCAGGAGGTGCTTTGAAGCGTCCCTAGCATTGCTCTAGGGAAGCGATTCATGTAATTAAATGGCAGGATGTGTCTAAGGTGACTCGATGGGCCGCCAAGAACTTCTCCAGAGCAGAGACCAGGACTGGAAGCCTAATGGGGTTGGCACCGCTTTCCCGCTTTCCCAACGCCCTGTAGTTCTTCACAATTTAAATCTAGGGGGTGAACAGTGGTGCCCAAATCGACCCCATGAGATGAGGGTGAGTGGACAGCCAAGGCTCTGTTTACCTGGCGACTATGTCAGAGAAGTTCAGGGCTGCACAGGCCTAAAGCAGGAGGCTTGGGCCGGGTTGGAGGTGGGGGCGGGGGAACCCTGTGACACACACCTCCCCTTCCCTATGCACTCCTGCCCTGAAATTGTCCCCAAAGGGCAGTGCAGCAATAGCTGAGGTTTCCCTGCACCCAGCCCAGAGAGGCAGGCAGTTGGCACATGAATGGCTACACTGATTTGCAGTTCCCAAGCTAGGCTGGCATCCTGCTCCGGGTTCCAGATCCCTGGCTCTCCCTGCCGGCCTGTTTTGGGTCAGAGTAGCTCCATGGCCAAGGTAAAGCTAAACTAGCGCTAGACATAACTAATGTGGACACTTTTCTTTGGTTGAGAGTGGGTGGGCGAGGGAATGAGAGGCCCGACCAGCCCACCCTAGTTGTCGGGTGGAAATCCCAGGTTCTGGATCTCAGATTCCCTGGAGGGAGATGCTGGGAGGGCCCAAATCAGGATCCAGCTCCTGCGGTTGCCTATTTGAGGGGAGTGGAAAGGGAGGTGGTAGTTTGACTTATGTTAAATTTCTAAACTCCCAGCTGGATCACCACTACAGCAAGAGTGACGTGTCATGAAAAGCAAACTCTGAACCTGGAGTTTCAAGTGTTTGATTACTGAGCCTTTATGCCGTTTGCATATGAGCTAAGGTGTGTTTGCTGCAGGAAATAAAGGGAGGGATACAGAAACTGGGACTTGAGAAATGTAAAGGCAAGCATTCGGGTGCCACGTCTATGGAGCTAGGAGGGGGCAATTCATGGGCTTCACGCAACTTCCCCAGAGAGTTTTTGTCCCTGTCTACCCTCTAGTCTTCTTAGGGTTTCCCCATTCCGTCCCGGAGGAATGACAGATCACAAGTGAACCATTCACTTCTGCAGGAGTATCTGGCCACTGAACACAGTTATGGACCCTCTATTCCAATGGCATCCACACAGACAAGAATACTGAACAAAATGTGAGCTGCCTGTTCTTCTTGGGGACCAGCAATTTGGGCATCATTAAGTTCTTTGTGCTGGTGACAATGATATTTTTAAGGGATTGTAGAGATTTAGGGTTGCAGGAACTCTCTGCCATTAAAAGCTGAATGGGCAGCGTGCATTCTTGAGCATCCTTATCCAGCCCTTGTCTGAGAAGTACTCATCTTGTGCTAAAGAAGTGCTTGCTGCAAATTTGTGTCATTCCCCAAATCACAAATTTTCAATACGGGTAAGTTACAACTTGGCTCCCAGCACCCCACAAAGAATATTGTTCTCGTTTCCTTCTCGCTTTGGGTCCTACATCCCTGCTCCCTCCTCCCATTCCCTGCTTTGATTCCTCATTTCAATATCAATGTTCAGTTCCACACCACCACCACCGCCC